CCTCGAGGTGATGATTGTTGCCCTTCATGAACATCAGCCTCTCAAAGTTGGCATCTGACAGGGTGGCTCTCTTGGCACTCAAGATGTCCTTGCCTATGGAAAACAGGCGCTCAGCTGCAGCACTGGATGGGATGGCTGTGTTGTACTCAACGAAAAGGTTCATCAACACCTGCTCGCTCAAGAAGGCAACGTCAGTCAATTCCTCCTTTGAGCTGCTTTCCAGCCTGGTCTTCACCAAATTCTGTGCCTTGGACTTCAGTGACCAGTGGCTCCTCCTGCACTCCATGGGCTGCTGAAGAAGTCATCTTCCCCATCCTCGTCATTGCTGGTGGTGCTGCTGCCCTCCTCAACGGTCTTCATCAGGGCTGTCTCCACGGCGGTCTCCATGGCCTTCTGTACCCTGCTGAGATGGCTGTGATTATGCTTTTCCAGTCAGAACAGGCGAAACTTAGGGTGGAAGGCCGCTGCCAGCTCCCCAGCTGGCACTCCTTGTCTTCTAGGAGGGGCCCAAACCTTTTCGTGATGCCTGCCAGCATTTCGTCCACCAGAGGACTGCTGTATAGGTGTGGGCGTGGCACATGGCTTACAATACTTAGCATTAAATCAGCGATTTTTAAACATTTTTAGCGGACTTCCAGATAGCGGAACTAAATTTAGCGGAAGCTAATTGGTCCGCTAAAGGTTTTCAAAGTTAGCTGAACAGCTAATCCAATAAGGAAAAAGTTAGCTTCGCTAATTAGCGGTTAGCGGATTAGCGGAACTGTGCCCACCACTGTTTGTAATTAACGAGAGTAATGATCTATATATACAGATTTAATTCAAATAAACCTTTGTACATATTGTTAAAAAATGTTCATATAAATTTTTAAAATTGTCTTATGCAAAAATTATAGCACGCACAGACATGCGGTAAACTGCGTTAGACGCGCCTTTTCAGCAGCTACAAAATGAGTCAAGAAAACGGTAACGCCAAAATTTCCGATTTTTAGGGTAGCCGGTCCCCTTAATAGTACTAAATATTATTTAAAAACCAGCATGATACATACATCATATAAATTACAGAATAAAACTGTACAAAAGATTTCGGTGTAATGTTGTCAACCTCAGCCTGTTACTAGTGTCAACCTGTTAGTTGTTACTTGTTAAGTTGTTACCAGTTACCACTTACAGGTTTTTTCATCTTTCAGTTTGCTTACAGTTATTTTTATGTTTCTCCTTTCCTACATGGATGTCTACTTCAATCTACCAATCTCAAAAATAATCCATATATATATATACAAAAAAACTGATTTTTATATGTATATGTGGATAATTTCTTAGATTGGTAGATTAAAGTTCACATCAATGTAGGGAAGGTAAAACATAAAAATAACTGTGACTTCTATTTACTGTATCTAACCCTGGGGTAACCCATACTAGTTCCGTTAGGTTAAGTGCAATAAAGTTGCATTGATATGTTTTAAAAATGTTTTATCATTAAATGTTAACGAGTAAATCCCAATAGCAGAACAATAAATATTTTGAGATTTCCAATAATTTTGGCCGTTGTAGCGCCTAATGTAGCGCGCTACATTTTACTGTAGCGGTAGCGGTAGCGCCCGTTACAATCTAGTGGGTGTAGCGGTAGCGGTAGCGCCCGCTATGTTTAGAGCATGTAGCGGTAGCAGTAGCGCCGCTACATTTCCAAGTAGCGCTGCCCAGCTCTGAATATTGGATACAATCAATCTGAGGTCAGGGGTTCTGTAACTATTTAGAGGGATAAGTAAAGTTACCTTCATTTTAGACTTATCTTGATACAGGGTGGTATGTTACAATCATTAGAGGTATAAATATACAGACAGATACAGGACTATGACCTACAACTGTTAGTCCAGACTTGGAGTGGCTTATGAAATGGACCACTACCATCAGAGTTGCTTCTAAAATGAGTGCTATAGGTACTGCTGCAGTTGTGTGAGCAGTACCAGCTGCTGGTATACTAGGGTCTAAGGGTTGGAAGCAAGGTGCACTTGAGGTGGAACCAGCATCTGCAATTGTTGCACAAGACAGATCCCCCACCCATGCTAGAAGATGTTATATGAGTGGTGCAGGTAGGGCACAAGGTGATGGGGCCCAGGTTTGGCTTGATGTTGCCACCAAGCAGGAGAAGGTACAGGGACCTGGCAGCCAAGGCTCCAGGTCCCCCATCATAAAAAAAACATTGTTCCAATCCAACCAGGTAGTGCCTCCCTGAATGCAGCACTCTGGGGAGCCATCTCTCCATGGCTCCCAAGCAAGGTTGAAATAGGTAAATTTGGTCCTCCCAGAGGGACCTTGCTGCAATGCAGATGCACCCTCAATAGCAAGTCTTGTGTGATGTAGAAGATGCTAACTCAGTGTCTAGCATTCCATCGAACTGTCATGTCTAGCTAATATTGCACATCAATTACAGTTTCTCTAGTAGTTGTATATATATATATATTATTAGTTTGAGATGGCAGAATTTGTTGATTTATACGCGTGCGATTAACGACCAGAGAATAAATTGATTTAAATTATCAAAAAGTCGGACAATTCTTCAGATGACGTTGGTAGATCGAAAGGCATATATCGAGAAGTAGTTTTATTAACGACGTTTCGAATGTAACAAACATTCATTTTCAAGTTACAAAGAGCATTAAATATTGAAATTCTGGTGGAAGTAAGTACATAAAATATGTAAATAGGATACTAAAGCAAAATTTTGAATCAAAAAATCACTCTGAAAATCATTTCAAAGTTCAGCCAAATGTACTTACTTCCACCAGAATTTCAATATTTAATGCTCTTTGTAACTTGAAAATGAATGTTTGTTACATTCGAAACGTCGTTAATAAAACTACTTCTCGATATATGCCTTTCGATCTACCAACGTCATCTGAAGAATTGTCCGACTTTTTGATAATTTAAATCAATTTATTCTCTGGTCGTTAATCGCACGCATATATATATTATAATATAATTATAATAAGATGCTTGATACTGAAACTACAAAACAATGCTATATTGATTGAGAAATTTCCAAATTCACTTATTACGTACAAACAAATTTAGATGACAAATTCCTGAAATAAGTTGTTTTGCAATTAGTGATACACAAGTTTTCCAGATTGATTAGCTTCCTGTTCATAACTTTGTTGTATGTTGTATTAGATTGTTGAGAAAGTCATTCATTCATTTCCACACTGATAATGAACCCCCTGAGCATCAAAATTGTAATGAGTTAAATTTTTTAACAGGGCTCTTTCATATATTTGATTGGATTCTCTCCAAATTTTTTTACTCTGTGCTCAGGGAACAACTTTAATAGGTGCTGTATGAATAAACTTCTTTTCCAGGGCATTCAATTTTTGGCATCATTCAATTGTTCATCATGACATTTCTGAAGACTTTGAAGCCAAGTGGTATGTGGAAATCCTTCTATTCAGTTAAATTTATTTCATGTGTCATATATGCCTCTGTCTTGATGTTGCACTTGGAGTGCCTATCTGTTAATAATTGTAACAGTAATCATGAATGAATACTGAGAAATTTATTTTTAAATCAATTTCAAAAGCTGCTCACAAATATGAATCGCAAGTATGATTTTTAGTATATTTTTGCATTATTGAAATGATAACTTGTAGTTATGGAGAGCAGTTAACCATGTTTGAAATTCCTAGTATTTTTTACTTTATCATATCTCATCGATGAATTATACCTGAGGGTTTCAGAGCACTTATTTGTATCTTTGAGAACTAGAAAAAATTTAAGAAATCAATTACCGTACTTTCTCATAAATTTGATTTTCATGATATTTAATTTCTTATTAGGTTCTATTTTTTAGAGTAAATTTTAATAAATGATTCTTCTTATCATCTAGGCCCTTTGGTGGTTGGCTGCACAGACATCATGATTGGCCGAACAAAGGAAGGGTCCCTGTTACGTCTCTTTTATCCAACAGATGCCAAAGAATTGCCTGTGAGTATGTATTTTGACTGTTATTCGTGTGCAAACTAAATATTTTATTAAAATGCAGTGGAGCCTGCCTTTAAAACTTAATTTCTGCAAAAACTTGGTTTTTATGGCAGTTTGTTTGCAAAGCAAACCTACTTTTCCCATTAAAATTAATGGAAAAGACTCCAATCTGTGTTGAGCCTCCCTCACTGTCACCTCATATGTAGGTATTTTAAGCTTACATTATGGTGCAGAAAGATTTATTTTTCTGTGCCTAGTAAAGTATCTTTTTGATTAAAGTTGATTACAATAGTTCTTTTATTTTGGCCACACTCCTTGGCAGAATGAATAACCCATACCTATGCTGACCACATGTTACAAGGCATCATCCAATTTTCATAAACAGATAAAACTTTTTGTGCCAATCAACTGCTTTTATGTGGTGCTCAGGGTCGTACAGCAAGGGAGGTTTGTTTAGCAGTGCATATTTTTTCCTATCTGATGGTTTTTTTTGGCAGGTTGTTTGTAAATAAAGACACTTGTAAGATAGGGTTCCTCTGTACATGTTATATTTGTAAGGTAGGGTTCCAATGTACATGTTACATTTGTAAGGTAGGGTTCCAATGTACATGTTACATTTGTAAGGTAGAGTTCCAATGTACATGTTACATTTGTAAGGTAGGGTTCCACTGTACATGTTACATTTGTAAGGTGGGGTTCCAATGTACATGTTACATTTGGAAGGTGGGGTTCCAATGTACATGTTACATTTGGAAGGTGGGGTTCTGCTGTGCTTTGTAAGTTATTTAACTGATACCGGTACTAGATGGCCAGCATTTGCATTAAACATGTCAGGTAATTCTTGTTATCCACTCCACAGCAGGATGAGAGTCAGTGGACCCGCTGGTACTTGGGTGACTCCTACTCCCGAGGACTGGGCAAGTTTGTGGCTCCTTGGTTCCTGCAAGGCACTTTTGCTTGGTTGCTTAATTGGCAAACACGTAAGTTAAGCAATATAATTCTTGCATAAAAATTTTTAGACAAATCACTGTATTTTTCTAACTACCATACATTGTGCTTAAAAAAATGAATGTTTAAAATAATATTTTTTCTGTAAATAAATAGTTTTTTTCAAACCTGAAATTGGTGTTCACTGAAGTGATCAAAAAATTTTCATTCAGAGTTGAATCACATTTTTTAGACCTTTTCATCTTTTAATTGAAAATGGGAGAAGATTTTTGTCCATACGTAATATAGCAATAACAATTGATATATGATCCTGAATTCTACAAGGAGACTTTGATGAAAAATATATATGCTATTTCCTTTTTAACATTTCACTCTTCAACCTTAATATTAAAGTGAGCCTTCCACTTCTGATATACATCATTAAAATGATCAAATTGCATAGGGATTGAACCTACCATTCATGTGAAAGTAGCCTAACAGTCAGAATTTACAATTGCTTTTTATATGTTCACATCTTATTAATTTTCCTTCCAAAATATTTAATGTAGAATGAGGTAGTCTCCCTAATATGTAAATTGATTGAACTACGAATATTTTATTACCTACCCATTTTTGCAAACAGAAGTTTTATTGGATATCCTTTTTTGCCATTTACATTCAGGTTTTCTATAGGTATGTTTTTACAGTTTTATGCGTTTTTACCATTCATATACATGTGTTAGTTTCATTCACATATTTCATTATACCCATTGACAATTTTTTACTGTCATTTTATCTCACTCGTGTATTGAAAACCAGAATTTCACTTCCAGGTTACAGTTTGGTGCCAAGTGCTTGGTGCAGCAATTTGTTGTCAGGGGACAAGAAGCTGCCAGTTGTTGTATTCTCTCATGGCCTGGGCGCCAACCGCAGCATGTATAGCTCTGTGTGCTGCCAGCTTGCATCTCATGGTTTTGTGGTGGCAGCCCTGGAGCACAGGTATATTTGCGTCTAATTCTTTCTAAGAGCTCAAGTTATCTGTATCAAAAATACTGGTGATATGTAAACTGTAGGAAGTTATTGCAAATTTTCAAAATTTTGAAAAAATTCAATCATTTTTGTGATTGCAATATACAGAAATTAGAATTTGTAGTGTGCAACATCGTTATTTTACTTATATGGAGCTTAGTACATTTTAGGCTCCAGTTGGAATTTATATTGGTTCGTCATGAATCACTGCTCAGCATGTTTTTGGTAGGTTGTGTAGTAAACATTCTAGTACACACCTAAATTATCCTTCATATCAGAGATGGTTCTGCATGCAGCAGCTTCACACTTAATGAGGAAGGTGAAAAGGAGTGGCTGGAGTTTGAGTTGCACAAGCCTGGCGATAAACAAATTGTGCTCAGAAGCAAGCAGGTGAGACTGTCATGTTGTTTTAGAAGTGTTATATTCTGATGGTCTTGTGGGTGACTGGGTGCTATGACTATCAAGAGATCTTGTGATGTACTCCTTAATTCTTTATAATGAAGAAATAATGATTCAAAATTGTCATACGGTTCATTAACTATGCTTGATTTATTTATTTCTGACTCTTCAGATAGGTATTCGGGTTAAAGAATGTCAAAGCACTCTCACAATAATGGAACGCCTCAACTCCGGGGGAGTTGAAAATGAGCTGAAGAATGCGTTTGATATCAGGCAGCTGATTGGGCGGTTGGACCTCTCAAGACCAATCATTGCGGGACACTCCTTTGGAGGCTGCGCGGCCATCAACACGCAGCTGCAAGACAAACGCTTCAAGTCAGGCATCCCGCAAACATTTATTTCAAAATGTCTTCCTTTTTCTTTATTTTCAAATGAATATCATTCTTTGTATACATCTTTAAATTAACTATTGCGTTTTGTAATTATTTTGAATAGTACGGTAAATGAACAACAAGCAAGCTCTGCAATATAATCTAAATTTGATCTAGGTCCAAGTTCAAAAGGCATTGAAGATTATTTGAGACACATTTTTTTACACCTACTGTAAATTTGAGACACAATTTTTTTCATACTGTAACTTTCCTGCAAAAATAGAAATAGCATGAAAAATTAGATCATCATAAAATATGCAGAATTTTGCACCATGTTGCAAAGTAGCTTATTTGTTCATGTTGTTCAGACTTTGTGTTGCCTTGGACCCCTGGCTGTTCCCCATGAAAGACTCGGTGGAGCTGTGTTCTAAAATGGAGAAGCATGTGCTGTGTGTCTCTACAGACACATTCCAGACGCCTGAGAACTTGGAGGCTATGAGTCACTTGCCTTCACAGCTCACCTCTTTTGTCACAATCAAGTGAGTTCTTAGCTAACATCCTTTAAATTTAACCCATTTTGTCCAATTGTTGTAAATTCCTTGTTATTATGCCTATAACAGTTCGCTTTTTTTCCCATCAGGCAAGTTCACTGCGTACCTGTCATCACATATCACGTATTTTGTCGCCAATAAGCAGGTTTACTGCTGACCTGTCACCAAATCTAATAATCTAGGAAGTAATTCCCATCATCCCAGTAGGAATTGATGCGAAAAGTAGAAAAATTCCATAATAACACAGAACAGCATCAATCGAAATATTTTGTCAGGGGCACAGTGCACCAGAACCAGGCAGACACGCCCTTCTTGCTGGGTACCGCGGGACGTCTCATCGGGGGCACAAACTCGAAGCTCGACCACAGCCTGGCCATGGAGATCAACAACGCCCTCATGATGGCCTTCATTCATTCTCATCACGGTAGGGCGACGCTTTACTGCCCTTCAGCAGTGCAACCTTGCTAGAATATTCGTCTGGTTTGCAATGATTATTCTCAAAAGTTACAACCATTTCTTTCATCTTGAAAACTGATGTTCTCTTGTCTAAACTGTCGTACCCTCATAAAGTTTGATTAATCTCAATGGTAAGAGATGAAGCATGATTGTAATTCAGTATCATCACGGTTGTGTAGCTATCGTTAAAACTGGCTGATGCTACCTTTTCCTATTGGTAGACTAAAAGGGTATATATTGAGCTGTTATTGTTGCTATTACTAATGAGGGTAAAGCTACTGTCTAATCTTGCAATTTCACGGCGCATTCTAATCTTCTAATATTTTGTTAGTAAAGTATTTTCCTTGTACTTTGATATTTTCCATGGGTGAAATGTGGTACTTTCTATTTCTTGCATGAATTTCAATTGTCATACAAAATTTATTAACCCGATTTTCGCAACAGGGTCCTTCCATAATTAATGATAATGTGAAAAGCAATGGGTGTAAAATCTCGCCACTCGGGTTATCTTCATATATGAAATATGGATTTTTTAAACAGATGCCAAAGGCTATACGTTGACATAGAAAACTAATCACCCGTGCATGGACCAACTTTTCGAGTTACCTTGGTCAGACTATAAAAATCCAATTGTGCTTAGAGTAAAATGTATCGTTTGGCTGCGAACCGAACGAGTCAGTTGTTTTTCTTGATCATGACTCGTTCTACTGGAGTCTAATCAACTTCAAGAGGTGCCCAGGGCCAATATTTGTTCGAGAAAGCTGCTCTTTCATACAATTTTTTTCTAATCATAAATTTATCTCCAGTCTCGGGTCAAAGAGGAATCCATCGTTGCATCATGGGTCATTGGTCCAAAAAGTTGGGAGAAAACTTGGTAAGATCATATTTAAAGGGCTCTTTCGACCTGGTTTTAGGCCTCCCTAAAGGCCTGAGTGACGAGTACGGCGAGCGGTGGGATGCCTTTGTTGCCGAGCATCAAAGCAAGCTCGTGTATGGGCTCTACGGCACCGCACGCAAAATGATCGGCTGGAACAAGACGGGATTGTAAACCTTTCTCCCCTTCTGGTCACTTGGTACTCACTCTATGACCGCATTCCCAATGGTATTCGTATGGTTAGCTCTTAACATTATGCATTCTGCTGCAAATCATGCACGAGCTTCTAGAGATAAGGCACGTTGTACATAATGAAACTTCGGTCGCATGTCCAATCCAGAAACTCGTTAGAATTAACTTTATTTTTGAGAGACTTATTGAAGTTGATCTATGTATTCATCTATAGTGTGTGGGTGTAAATATCATGAATATATGTGCGTCCATGGGCTGTTGTAATGCCTGAATGATGTGTCAAATATGGGGGAAGCAGCTTTGAAAAGCCATGCCAAAGGCAACAAACGCACCAAGTTAGCTAAGCAACACAGTGAAAAGAAAAGCAAAGCTCAGTAACGCATTTCCGATTTTTGGTTCGCTGACAGCAATGCAACTGAAGTTTCTTTCTCCAAAAGTGTATCAAGAAATAGGCCGTCGCAAATGTCAGCACGCATCAGCACTGTAGTGTCTACTGCCAGTCTGCCACTGCGAATGTAGAGACGGAGAGCAGGCCTGTATCCACTGCCAAAGCCAACCCCAATGGCGAACTGACCAGCTTTGTAACAAAAGATGTTCTGACGTCTGAAATTTGTTGGGCATTGAAAATGGTGACATCTCACTTTTCTTTTACAAGCAACATTGGCATATGTGATTTATTCCGCCGCATGTTTCCTGACAGTTCAATAACTGGTTACAAGGTTGATGTTGGTTACATGGCCAGGATCGCGATAAAAAAATCAGCTTGCAGACAAGAAGGCAAGTGCACTGCAAGTTCTCACTTTCAAGACAAGAGCGCGGGACTTCATGCAGGCTGTAGTCCAAAAGCTACTAGACAAGAGCCATATCAGGTATGGCCTTGGTAGGAACCTGAGATGGCTGGTGCCAAAAGTCTTCATCAAGAAGGACCATAAGGAAGCCAACAAGACACAGTTGTAGAACTGTCTCACTTTTCTTGTTGATGCCAAGAGATTCCCTAACACAGATGTGTATGAGATGTGCAACTTTAGAGATGAATCACAACATTGCAGTGGACTGAACGCATAGTTTCAAGCATTTTCAACTTCTGATCGACAGGACCCTTTGGCATGCAATTCTGTCAAGGAGCTCCTACAAGATGCTGTGGAATGTAGTGCAGATGCTCATGCTCCTGTCTCATGGCCAAGCTACAGTTGAAAAAGGGTTTTTGTTCAACAAGGAAATCATGACACACAACATGAAAGAGCAAACGGTGGTTGCCCTGCATGCTGTGGCTGATCATGTTGCACATGTTGGTGGCCTGGACAAGATGACCATCACCAAGAAGATGCTGCTTGCAGCTGGCAGAGCCAAAACAGCCTACAATACTTATTTGACAGAAGAGAAAAAGCAGAATGCAAAGGCCCAGAAAACCCAGAAGAGGAAGGCTCTGTAGGATGAGCTAGATGAACCGAAGAAGAAGAAGAAAAAGAAAAGGCGTTCGGAGGAGGGCATCAAGGCGTTTGAGCAAGCAGCAGATGAATATGCAGAATCGATGGAGAGAAAGGGGGATTTGAAAATTATCGCAAAGTTCATCGCCATGAGGCGATCTTTGAAAACAAAGCAACAGGAGCTAGACACTGTTGAACTGAACTTTAAAGAAAAAGTTGATGAAATAGCCGCCAGTTGAATGTTAGGGTAGTGGTGTTTAAGAGCGTTTTGAACTGTATTGACACTATCATGCACAATCTTGTGTACATTACTAAATATTTGTTGTAGTTTGACACTATTTAATTCATAATACCTGTGTGGGCTTGATTTTCATATTTGTGTCATTTTTGTTCCTCAGTGTCTGCCTGCTCTATGCATTTACTCGTTTGCTATTTATCAACTGTAGGAGATGATAGGATATGCACGGTTAGTCTTTCAGTCATGCTAAACCTGCCGTGTACGAGTCTTGGAAAATTATAGTGATGGTCATGAAGTCATGGAAAAGTCATGGAATTTTTTTTCTAAATTGGTACCAGTACGGACCCTGTGTGCCGCATGCTCAACTCATTTTCTTGCGTTGACTTTACCCTGTTGGAACTCGACTGAAAAGTTATCAGTTGTACAGAGCGCTATAGTAGGTTCACCCGGTGCTATTTACTTGATTTAAAAAAAATTCTTTTCGCCCCAAGATGTCTTCGCCTCTGCACTAACTCTGCCTGATCATAAAATGGCTCTTACCACATTCCATACTAATTTACCCAATTATACTGTCACTTGCAAAATGCTAGTTTCTGCACTAACATTCAGAGCTATGACCAACTGCTGGGGTGTCTCTGAAGAGAACATACGGGCTATCTACACAAGTATTAGCCGTGCTATCTACGCAAGCCTTGTACGCCTTATCCACATCGCCCTTATCGTGGGGGAGGAAGAATTCGTATCTCGATAAAAATCAATGGTGTGCGGTCTCAGCTGCAATCACGATCAAGTGGCTCGGTTTGAGAGTCCAGACCAACTGAGATGGCAAAACTCTCTCCTGGTAACGAACAACTTGGCTCCCTTATAGACACGCAATGACAAGTTGCTTTTACGATGACGGCCTAGCTATCCTATGTACATACAATGAACTCTGGGTAAATGAACCTTGACGGGGATCGAGTTGGCCAGTTTTAACAATCACGCATGACAAGGGTTACCTTAGAGATTTCTAGGCGGTTGGAGGGCTGCTTAAACGCCGTGAAGATGGAGTGGCGCCTATCTTGCGGAGCTAGTCATGCGCAAAACCTGCTGTGTTTGGGGAAGCTACATCCGAGCATACGAGTGTTCTCATCAAGACTGCGTGTGTCTGACACCAGGGATCTCCTTATTGGAAGCAGTAACACGAATGCCTGCTCAGCGTGTCGGATGACTTGAAAAACCCGGACGCCAAAAATGGACTTCTTTCACTCGTCTCCTGTACATGATAATGACTAGTACTCCCGCTACGTAACCAACGTTGATTTTTTTCCCACCGCCATAACGACAGAGCTGCTCTGCTCGACTCACGAACCGAAAAAGGGAACATGCTGCCGGTCACAGTAACTAATAATGCAAAGATACATGCCCAATAAATACCAAAAATACAATAGAAACCAGAGCCTGACAAGACTTTGCTGAAATAACAATCGCTCACTCTGGAGACCCAGCTTAATGGATGAAAACCCGAGTATACCTCATGCATCCTCACAACTAGGGCGTACATAGCATAGCGGTTTCAGCGTTTATTAGGCCGCATGCCTGTCGCCGATTTTTAACGTTGCAGAACATTCACCGCTTGTTGCGGTCTCGAACTCGCAATTCACTGCTCCAAATTCTGTTCTTAACCGCCCGGCCTGCTCGCCGATTCTGACCAGAAACTGGCGCACAGAGCTGGGATCGAACCCGCGCCTCTCTGCGCCAATCTTTGTACTCATACGAGGTACCCAACGTTCAGCTGCTCTATATACCAAACACCAGTGGCTCCAACTGCGAGCCTTTTAACCGCAACAACTTTGATAGATGCTACTGAAGCTGTAATTACCGCGGCTGCTGGCACCAGACTTGCCCTTCAGTGGGTTGAGCTGTAACCACTGGACCTCTGTGGTTAGTGAGGTGGAAGTACGTCTTCATTTTCACAGCCTCTTATCAACTCTTACAAATTCTCCAGAATTATTCTTTTGCTGAGACGACACACGGTATAGCCGAACTGTAACCTTCGCGACAGCGTGTTGATTGCTGAACTGAGTGAAGAGAAACGTTGAGCTGACATCCAATCTGAGAACAGAAAACTCACAGCCACCACCACCTGAGTAGATGTAACTACATGAAAGTCTGAAACACTTTTGGACAACGGCGCTACGTATATGATAGTTGGACCTTCGGCGCGAAATAGATCACGATTTTCTGTAGCGCTAGAAAACCTGCAACAACTACTACCAAGTAACCAGTACCATGCTTACCTTGCTCTCTTTTTGCAGGCGTGCCTTGCTACACCTGCTGCCCGTTGACGGCACTGGCGCAGCACCAAGCTCTGGTCGTATGTGGCCCGCGTCTCGCTGTCGAATTTTTGCAAGAGCCCATCGCTCGTTCTCGCCTCTGACTCTAGTTTGTTTAAGGATCGAGTTTGTTTCTATTCTATAAGTTGTAGCTTAGAGTGACGCGAGTTGGATGATTGAGATCATCACTGGAAGCTTGTAACTGTGCTTCAATAAACTTGAAAGCGTTTTTGAAAATGATGCAACCATGGTAAATATTGTTGTTCTGGAAACCACATTTGGCCGGACTTGAGCTATTTGGTATAAAAAAACCACATGCGATTTTTTTTTGTTATATGCTGAAACACGGCTGTTTTAAAACTAAAATTAAAAATCCGGGCTCAAAAAGTCGAGCATTGTAGCAACGCAAATTTCGCTACAAATCGAAGCCGTATCCAGCATTGTATTGCATTTTATTGATGATGATCATTTAGAATGAATAGGAATATAACCGACGTCAACTCAATTTCATATTAATAACTTAATTAGGGTCGAACGTTTCTTTTTTAATCTTTTACCTTGTCTTAAATCATTTTTATTGCACATTGCCCAGTCTGTTCATTTCTTCGCCGTATGAAACGTGGTGATTTTAAGATGAAAATTTTCAAGTCTCAAAAGGGAAATCTGAGACCGTTGTGTACTCTTGGTATTTCATTAGATTGAAATTGACCATTTTATTCCCGAGTTGCTAGTCATTATCAGAAGGCGCCCGTAACGAGTCGGGGCTCGAATGTTTGTTAGCTATCGTGGCTGTGGGCATTTTGTGTGGTCAGTATATCACTGTGTCTGTGTATTCAAGTTAGTCTTCTGTTACGCTAATCCTTCGGAGAACTGTTCAGGGATTCGAGCACCAACTAAAGACATTACTTTTTCTCTTGTTCGAGCGTGATTACTCCTGCCACAATGCGCATTTCTGCACCTAGTCGTTTCTTGGTTCAATTCTCTCATTTATACTGCAGAATTGACCTCTCACACATCCACTATTTCGCGTTATTAGTTTATCTGAGTTTCAAATTCTGGAAATGTACCCTGGCTAAATTTGAAACCTCGATCTATAATTTGGGTCCTTCGGATTGTCAGTTATTACTTGAGCAATTAGGGTGTGAGCCCTTAATCCGGTCAGCTCTACTCCATGAGGATCATTTCAGGCGTATAACCCATAGTTATTATGATCGCAGTTTAACAGATATCACCTATGGAATTGTGGAGTACAGGGCTGCTGGTCTTGGTTTTATGTACTTTTCGTTATGTGTGCCTAGGGATGCATTTGTTTTGTCAGCTATAAGTGTTGGTATATCGCTAATACGGCAAATAAATTTATATTTTTACAATCATTAACATGATCAGGCAATATTTTTATACTGTTGTTGTTGTTATAAAATTTAAGGTTTGAAAGGTGTTTTTATGGACATTCATGCTCATGAAGGAGGAAGAAGACAATCACAATTCTACAGTTTATTCGACTCAGGTCTCTCGTTTAACGGAGAGTCGTTAAGCGACGATCTTCACCGAATGTTCCTTTCAATCACGCGGGCAGGAACCCATTATTTAGTCCGGCGTTCTCCAACGCACACGAAAAACAATTTTTGCACATAGCTTATCGTTTCAGTACAGCCCCTAATCTTCACCCCGAAATTAGCGACAATTTGAATTACACTCTAATTGTACAGGTAAACCAGTGCGTTCGCCGTTCACTCAAGCTGTTGAAAATTATCTCGCTTCACGTATCTTATTACCAGTACTCAGGTACCTAAATAATGAGGTAAATACATATTACACTTGCTCCTATAAGAACACTTGTCCATACATTTGTGAAGATTGTGAGAGAACATCAAGGCTTCCAACTCGAGTTTACGTTGGCATCATTCAATGTGTGAAGATTGGGTGAGAAAACCAGGGATTCATACTCGAGTGTACGTTGTCCTAATTCAACTCGAAGTGCATACTAATTCCATGAATAATTTTACTTTGGCGTTGTGGGACTAAAAGAATAACTTTTACGTTGCCTACTCCAAAATTCGCTGAGATCAAAAATCGGACAAGACGCTAATTAGGCTCAGCAGGCCAGCAGAAAAAGTTGATGGCATAACTAAAACGTCTATTTGTGTCAACATTGCAAGAACGATATCAGGTAACGATTGAAACTATATCATAGATGCCATAAGCATTTCCTGAGTTGTCAAGGAACTGTGGATTAGCGTGCCCAAGAGCTTTTTGCCGGAGTGTAACTTAGGACAGCAGAGACTGGTTGGAACTGCATCCATATATTTTACTGGTAATGAGGAATAGTCAACTCCAGCGATGTCATTTGCGGACACGTTTGTAGATTTCATAACGAATTCTCGCTTTTCTGTTAAACAAGACATTTATTGTATTTCAACACACTCAAATTAGGTTAAATTGGGCTAGCATTGACGGGCGCTCTTCTTCCAGTTCATGCTTCATAAAGAAGCTGTAAATTCTATACGTTATGTTTACCTTAAACCTGGAAGAACAAGTTCATAATGAGTGGGAACAAAGAATTCAAAATTGACTAGCCTCTAAGCTGAATGAGCACAAATTTCATTATTGCTGCGTATTGAGTACATACACTAGACAAATGAGGAGCAGAATACCTCAATGTTAATTATCGAGCATTACCCAGGACAGACTGGAAACACTTGTTTCTTGGGTATGGACAATTGAGGACGGAGAACAACAATATGCTGTCAGGAAGTACAGACAAGCTCAACTGCAAACGGTTGTAAGCAGACGTGTCTCAAAATTTTCTTCAGCCGAGACTCACAATTCGAGCGTCTTTAAACTGCACGATTGGGTCTTCTAGCCTAGACATAGATGAATATCCGTGGATCATACCGTCGCTAGTCTCAAAAAGAAGAACATTATCTATTTTGCTGACGACCAAATATATTGTGAACAGCTACCAACAACATTGCACCTGACGTTTACTCTATTGCCATGATCAGGCCAACAACTACCCGCACACAAGTCCTGCTGCCACAACAGGAAAACCCAATCTAAACGCGGGGGATATACTCCATCATAGATAAATCTACCAACCTTTCATTTAATATCCCCAAACACGATTCTGTGAGAATCTTAACTCACATCCACTAGTCGTTAGTAAGACTACTCCAGACTTTCATGATCTGTAGTATGTGATGAGTACTTAAACAACTTCCCGCACTAGACCAAATGATATTTAATGTCAGTTTAGGCGATAAAACCGACAAATTCAATGAAATAAGCTCCAGTTGACCGGATATAAACCGGACGACAAGTTGGTAGAGCTGGTCACCTGAACACGGGCTGTTCATCTGAAGGCGTCCCTGGACATGGCACCGGCGCTGTTAGCGAGGATTTCTCTAGGGGGCGACGGCTGATAGTGAGGAGGTAAAAACATGGAGTTGGTGGTGTTGGTGGTCGAGGTGCTGCCAGTAATGCTGCTGGCGCCAGGTATGGGGAATTGTGGCTGTTGTTGTTGTTGCTGCGAATGCTGTTGTTGCTGATGGAATATGTGGAACTGTTGCTGTTGCTCCGAAGGTTGTTGCGAATACTGATCTGAAGATGATGGATAACGTCAATACAAACAAAACATTAATAATAGAATAATGTTACTATTTGAGGCTGACACACTTATCATAGGACGAAATTTCCCTATTATAGACTGTAAGCTATTCGTAATTCTGCGCGCAGTTTTCAGGGTATCTATTGGAAATTTACGAATTTATGGGGAAGACGATGTCATGGACGCATGGTCCATAACGCAGAAGAAAAAAGGGCAGCATGGAAAAGTAGAATCTTGAAAAAAGAGTAGAAAGAAGAAGAATATAGCTTGTTGACATCGAACGATTCGGTGTGTTTTCGGAGATTTAGTTTTCACTTCCCGACCAAGATTGGCTTTACAACAATGAATAAAAAGTAAAATATTCAGTCTGCACGGATTACATCCTTACGAATAATGGAAACGATGAATACCAAGGAGGAGATTAATACCAGTCTGTAGAAATGTCTCGCTATCACGCTGCTCGTGAACGTTTTGCCATCATGAACCTACTAAACAATCACAGTTTTAATAGTAAATATCTCTTTTACTCTAAGTGTTATGAGTAACTTAGCAAAAAACAGAATTTTATTTTCTTCGCCGCGTAAACTTCTCAAAATCAAAGTTGTAAAAGCTTTAAATGTGTTAAACTATAATTATCTATGCAAATAGTTAACAGCATTACTGTGAATCCCTCACATGATCTCCATGCTTGAGTGAAAAATATGTTTACAGCAAAACAAAAACGTCAGAAAAAAACACGAGACTGGGGCATGTAAAGAAACTGTTAATTTCACTATCTTGACGAAATCGTATGGGCAAACATCTTTCGTGGAGAAGCGTCCAGAATTTTCTAGTTACAGTTATACAAAGAAGGGAATAATTTCTGTAAGACGCAACCTTTACACTAATTTGACTTGGAGACCCGCTTGAACTCTTTAAGCCTCATGTATCATCCACAGGGAGACTTTTCATCACACAGACACTACTCACAGACCCTCTTCACCACACGCCTCACAGGCACCCACGCCGCCACACAGGCACCCACGCCGCCACACAGGCACCCACGCCGCCACACAAGCACCCACGCCGTCACACATGCACCCACGCCGTGACACAAGCACCCTCTCCGCCACCTAGAACCCTCTCCACCGCACAGACACATCGCGCATGAACCCCCTCCGCCCACCATGGTCACGCTGGTGCGCCGCCTTAATATCCTGCTACCTTCAGTCCCCGGCAGGCAAGTCGTCCTCGCCGCCAAAAACAAGGAGGGCAGGGGAACGGAGCTCTGAGAACGGAAGATCTGAGATTGTGCTCAGTAACGCATCCAGTCTTCGTTGAAGATATCTGGGCTGAATTCTTTTTCTCAGCACCGTCGGCTAAGGAGCCGGGGGGGGGCGTTTTAACGAGCTTGGTCCCGCCACTGAAAGGGTTCATTCCTACAGAGATTAGACTCGGACCGCTTTTCTGTTGACTAGTGAAAATTCGGCATGTATTCCTACTTCTTCATTGCCATATGTCGGAATCCTGAAGTTCTCACTTCCAAAGCTAGAACCAGTTCGTTTATAATTTTCCACGTGTACTGCATGATATACCTTTCGTGTCTCCTCTGCAGTGAGTACAAGCATAGACGTGAAGGTTTACTTCCGTTTGTTGCACTGCACCCACATTGAACTGAGTCAACAGCTGTCGAAAGTCCTCAAGGAAACAGAGCACAAGGACTCTGAAGAGAGTGATCATCGGTTCCGCTTCGCTTGTTCTGAACGTTTGCCAAATCAACCATACGTACCTGTCACCTGCCTATAACAGATATTGCCGCTATAGGTGTCCACCAAACTTGATGATGTGGTCACCAAACGGTATTCATCATCACTCCTCCGTCGTAATCGAGTGGCTTTTCCTCAATGATGACAATGCGATGCGAGATGACAGCGGTCTGGTAGCATCACGACCGGCACCTCAACATGAACCTTCACCACACAATCATTCACACGTGAACCCTCACTGCCACAAATACATCACCCACATAAACCTTCACCATAAAGGCTCCCTCATGTGAGCCATATACTCCACGCATTAACCCTCACCGCTACACAGGCATCGCAGACATTGAACCTCAGGCACCCGCTCTGTCACTCACCTGACTGGAGAGGCGTGGAGGGAGAGCTGCCGTTTCTGTTGGTCGCCTCCTGGGTGGACAGGCGGCTGAAGGCGGCCAGGGTATCGGGGAATGCAGGAGGAGTGGCTGGAGTGTTGGCCGGGGTACACAGCTGACAAAAACCAATGTGATCTATACATGGGCGAGAATATCCTAGTTCCTTAATTAACTTAAAAACCGATTTCATGGATTCCAATCGGAAACGTCGAAATTGATGTAAAGCATTGCGAGATAATAAAATTTTACATAAGCCATTCCTCTTAAATTGGCTACCTGGATTTCACGAAAACTCCACGGATACGTTTCGTTTGAGTGACAACACAGGTACGGTAAGGTACATATGACTGAAGGTGCGGAAGTTGGGAAATACACGATGAATGAAGTAACGGTGATTCTTTTTCATTTATACGTACCTTAAGTTAGGTCACAAACTTATGTTTCATGTAATTTCATTATTAAAATAGGAGAAATTAAAACCTGAATCATTTTACCGCCATGACCATGATAATCACAACGACCAAAGATTTGATAAACCACCTCCCTGTGGTGAATGGGGTAAACGTGTGCGTAGCTGGATCCGTCATATGAACAATATTGATAAATGTTAGACGTTATTTTAGTTGCTTTCGAAGCTTGAACTATGAAACGTTTAGTAACTGAGGACTTTGTGTAACTGGGGCAGATGCAGTGGAAGTGAGGCGAATGAACAGTGCGTTCAAAGCGCCGGCCACCGGGTCATATTTAATGGAGTCCCAAGACTGCTATATCCGGCAGACACGTCACGGCAGCATCCCCTTTAGCGCGCCACTAGCCTACTACCGCTCCGGCAGCACGAGCTAATACACATTTCGATCAGCGCAAGAAATATCTCAGTAATAAAAATGTCATTTGAAAATCTAGAAAAATATAACTACAAATAGAGAAAACAAAATTAGATTGTCCATGCCATTAAATCATTGTGCAATGCTCGTTTATAGTGTTGATTTTCACGATCGCAGCCAAATAGAACATTTTATACAAGTAAATTTTCAAACAGAAAATTTATCACAAGAAATAATGTCCTAGTTTGGATGCTCGAGCAAGTATCCTGCAGAATCTGCGGTGACTGTAGATCCGAGTCAGCATCAATAACTATACAATTTTTTTTTCTTGAACTAGAAAAACGCTGTTAAAAGCAAAATTATTATATAGCTCCTTAGACCTCCCAAAAAAAAACGAGCAGTACACGGAAGGCTTCCATGTTTTTAGTCACAGAAATAGAAACACTACAACATTCTTTAATAGAATAGGCGTTCAGAAGCACTTTCAACTTGCTAGTCTGCGGGCGAGAATAATATGACTTGACAGAATGCACGATAAGGGTTTACGGAAGTGTTATGTGAAGATAAGTATCACATTCAAGCCTAGAATAAAATTAAACTTCAATAACACACGATGTTTTTTCGCACAGTGTCGGGAGACAGAAGTTCCACTACTCAGACAGAGTAAACTAAGATTGTACGAGTAGATAGAGCAACAAAAGTAAAAACTTTATATTAGAAATGCGCAACAAAAAACTAACGTCTACTCGATTTTTTATGCTGCTCAAAGGTTTGTATGTTGATGTATTTGTTAGTTCTCTCATCGCACGACACAATTAGACGCCCAGGACATAATGCGCTCGAACTTGGAAGCTGCAATGAATATAGTTATTTTCCATGCACGCGCTGAACAGAAACCTTCTGCGAGTAAACGGTAATTGCATGGTTCGGAATTGTAAATTTCTTAGCTTGAATGATGTCGCTTAATTAAATATGTGAAAATAGTGTGCTGAAAATAACGGCAGATTGCAGAATAGCAAAAACGTTTAAAGTAAATGAGAAGTATTAAGAAATTCAATACTAAAGTGGGGTCATTAAGTATCCTAAAAAAAATCATTGACAGAAATATTAACATCGAACACTTCCGCAACAGGGTAGGCACCCACGCCGCCACACAGGCACCCACGCCGCCACACAGGCACCCACGCCGTCACACGAGCACCCTTTCCGCCACCTAGAACCCTCTCCACCGCACAGACACATCGCGCATGAACCCCCTCCGCCCACCAAGGTTCCTCCTGTATGCAAGTTCTGGGGCCATACTTTCAAAATTCGCGAAGTGAACGTAAGTACTTACGCTCTATTTTCTTGTCTATGATTGGTGGATTTTGCTTGAAAGGCCGTAAATGATTAGCTGATGAACTTACGATCTTTTAACTTTTTTTGAAAGTATGGGCCCTGGACGTTATTGTCGCAAGGACGTAACCGTCACGCTGGTGCGCCGCCTTAATATCCCGCTACCTTCAGTCCCCGGCAGGCAAGTCGTCCTCGCCGCCAAAAACAAGGAGGTCAGGGGAACGGAGCTCTGGGAACCGAATATCTGATATTGTGCTCAGTAACGCATCCAGTCTTCGTTGAAGATCTCTGGGCTGAATTCTTTTTCTCAGCACCGTCGGCTAAGGAGCCGGGGGGGGGGCGTTTTAACGAGCTTGGTCCCGCCACTGAAAGGGTTCATTCCTACAGAGATTAGACTCGGACCGCTTTTCTGTTGACTAGTGAAAATTCGGCATGTATTCCTACTTCTTCATTGCCATATGTCGGAATCCTGGAGTTCTCACTTCCAAAGCTAGAACAAGTTAGGTTATAATCTTCCACGTGTACTGCATGATATACCTTTCGTGTCTCCTCTGCAGTGAGTACAAGCATAGACNGTCCATGCCATTAAATCATTGTGCAATGCTCTTTTATAGTGTTGATTTTCACGATCGCAGCCAAATAGAACATTTTATATAAGTAAATTTTCAAACAGAAAATTTGTCACAAGAAACGTCCTAGTTTGGATGCTCGAGCAAGTATCCTGCAGAATCTGTGGTGACTGTAGATCCGAGTCAGCATCAATAAGTATACCGGTACAACATTTTTTTTTCTTGAACTATATAACGCTGTTAAAAGCAAAATTATTATACAGCTCCTTAAAGCTCCCAAGTCATGCACCGGTAAAAAAAAACGAGCAGTACACGGAAGGCTTCCATGTTTTTAGTCACAGAAATAGAAACACTAGAAAATATTCTCGAATAAAATAGGCGTTCAGAAGCACATTCAACTTGCTAGTCTGCGGGCGAAAATAATATGACGTGACAGAGTGCACAAGGGTTTACGGAAGTGTTATTGGAAGATAAGTATCACATTCAAACATAAAATAAAATAAACTTCAACAATAACACACGATGTTTTTTACACAGTGTGTCGGGAGGCAGAAGTTCTACTACTCAGACAGAGCAAACTAAGATTGCAGATAGAGCAACAGAAGTAAATTTTTAAATTAAATGCGCAGCAAAAAACTAATGTTTACTCGAATTTTTCTGCTGTTTGCTCCGTGATTGATTTGTTAGTTCGCTCATCGCACGACACAATTAGATGCCAAGGACATAATGCGCTCGAACTTGGAAGCTGCAATGAATTAAGCTATTTATTTTATATGCAAGCGCTGAACAGAAACTTTCTGCAAGTAAATATCTATAGTCAAATGGGGTAAGACAGGATCGCAGCCTTCATGGGGTAAGAAAGGACCAGCTCATGGCATGCATTGTAATAGCACTGAATTTAATTTGACAAAAGAATATGTTATAGCAGTCATTGCCTGTCATTTTAGTAATTGATGCAACCCTCTACTACAAATAATGAATTTCTGGCTAATTTTTAAAGAAAACCCTAATGGGGTAAGATGGGACCAGCTCACTTTTTATAATCTGTACAGAAAACTACCTATGTTAGATGCAAAATGTCTGAGTTGTAGCTTAGAAGCCCATTGCATAACTACACCTTGTGATAGGTTTAGGGTTTTTTAGTTATTCATGATATAGATGCTACAGGCTTGTTAGTGATTTCGGTCCTGTCTTACCCCATCTGACTATAAATATATAGTTCGTGAATGGTTCAGAATTGGAAATTTTTTAATTTGAATGATGTCTCGTAAATGTGTGAAAATAATGTGCTGAAAATAACTGCAGGTTGCAAAAAAAGCAGAAACGTTTAAAATAATTGAAAAGTATTAAGAAATTCAATACTAAAGTGGGGTCATTAAGTATCCTAAAAAAAATCATTGACAGAAATATTAACATCGAACACTTCCGCAACAGGGTGAAAACTAACGACTGAAAATTACTTAAATGATAAACTCCCTTCATATGCGACAGGAATAACTCAATAGGTGCCGATAACTCTTGCGCGATTGTAAAAACCAGCCTCTTGTGCAAGGTTTCAGACTCACCCACTGTACGTTATGCGGTCGCTGCAGCCTAAAGGCTCTACATTCATTTTCTGTTCTGTTCCATGCAGGAAAAGAGAGAGTCGGGGCATGAGGCCTGCACGGCGGCATTATCCAACCACCCAATGAATGGCTTGCACAAAAAAAAATCAAAATATGAAAAAACAGCAGCTAAAATGAACGACTATGAAGTGACCCAGCCTGCGGCAATGGCTTGATAGCAGCAGGAAATTCCGCAGCGGCTGCCTAAGCTGAACATGCCTGGAAATTTGCAAAGCCACTGCACATGAACGGCCTTTCTGACAGCTCTTCATTCCCAGTTTTGTAGCAATTATCAGCATTTTCCCTGAATTGAAGTGTTCTTGCAGGCGGCTATAATCTTGAATGGTAAGACGATAGTAATTTCTCGTTTACGTTGTTCCACATCCACTCGATCTAGTCTAAGTTTTAACAATATGCGTAACGCCGTGAGAAGAGCATAACAAACCTGTCAGAACATATTCACAATTCCTACTGCAGAAAGCCAAAATATAGCAGGCATCAATATTTTTTAATCGGTTATATATAAATAATCGCAGATCGAACACGGCACGCACTAGAACGAAACATCCAAGTTTAGCAGCTATAGTGATAAGTGATCCAAGTTATCTCCAGAATTGAATATTTTTTGGCACATAAATGATTCGTTAACTACGCACGCGAATGCTAGCTTGAAATCAGAATGACAAACACAATATTTTAGTTAACAAACGCAATATTAATTATTTTAGGCTGACGAGTCAACAACCCGGCATGAATACAACATCAAATGCAGCTTCCACGAAATTTCTGCCCCTCAATTGGTAGACATAGTAAATTGACGGACGAATAACACGGTAGCCGGGAAGTCTGTTCAAGCAATGCGAACATGCGAGTCTTGTTTATTGAGAGGCCAGAACTGGCAACAAAGAGCGGCCTCGATGTCAGCACGAGCCGTCGTCGATGTACATGATAACAAAGGATACTGAAAAATAGTACATAGCAAACGGATCGAAAAACATCATATACGATTATAAAATAATATGCGTTTAAAAATTACTTTTTAGAGACAACACTTCTAAAGAGGCCAGTGTATCCGATGTTACACATGTCCAATGAATTTCGATTTTTTTATATATAAAAAAATATTTTCAACATTTTTTTCTTATATATACCTTTTTTAATATTTATTCTGTCAATTGATTCGTGCATTGTCTCTGACTTCGCGCAAGGTACAAAATTTCGGATCGATTGGACAGGTAGAAGTGTGTTAAATATCGATTATAAGATTTGTACTAGCAGACAAACAAACAAAAAGTGAAGTTGAAGAGAAGTGTGGTAATAATGCTCAAATTAATTTTTAAAGACAACACTTCCAAGGAGGCCATTGTATCCGATGTTACACATGTACAATGAATTTCGAATTTTATCTGTAAATATTTATAAAAAATATTTTTAATATTTGAAAATTTTTTAACTTTCTAAAATTATTTTTTCTGTCAATTGATTCAAGCATTGTCTCCGACTTTACGCAAGTGTCCAAAATTTCAGATCGATTAGACAATTATAAGTGTGTAAAATATCGATTAAAAGATTTATAGCAGACAATAAGAAGTGAAGTTAAGCAGAAGTGTTGTAAAAAAAAAAAGAAGAGTAACATGCTCAAGTAAAAGTTTTAATCGGTCACTGCCGGCAAGAATGCACAAGTAAAGATCTCGTAATTGCGCTCTTGATGATCACTAATCACGATTTATTTTTAGTAAGTAATTTAGTCTTACACGTGTTTATTTCTTAGCTGTTAAAAAAACTAACGAAAAATTAATTGCCTAAGAAGCTCTGAAAGAAACTCTACAGCTTCGCGCAGCTCGCATCGTAGTCCCGAGAAAACTGCTGCATGGTTAAGACTGAATCGGTCAAAGAACACATCCAAACTAGTTTGCAAATAGAAAGCATGCAAACGTTTAATTTCATGGCTATACATGTCATTTCAATTCCTGAATGACCAACCAAAGTAAAATGATGCACAACAACATGCAGAGCGACGCACCATTCCATTTAGGTAATTAATTAATGCCATGAAATACCAACGAAGTAATTGAATCAAAGTGTTTCGGAAATGTTCAGTTTTGACTTTTCTGCGCGTTCAAGGAAGAACTAAGCCTCCTGGAACTGAAAAAATGGCAGTTGCAAACGTGAATGAAATGAGATTCGGAATAATTTCTTTCGCTGAATATTTCAACGAAATGCAACTTATAAATTATTCAATTTGTCGATATTAATTTAAACTTAAGTTCCAGATATTTAATGCAGCCCACACAAAGGCCTAGCCATATTTTCCCTTATCATTTGCATGAGATAAGATACAGAGCCCTGCAATCATTTAAGGCACAGAAGGTGCAACATCTTTTTATATTTAAATAAGTCACGCTGTTAGTTTGTGTGCCTGCCCACCTGTTCGAATTCTCGCTAGGTATCTTGGATACAAGTGTCTGTGTCGGATTTATTATATAACTGCTAGTAGGAGCGGGGGCCAGCATTGAACGTGCATTTCCTTATACCTTCAAGTGACAAACGTTTCAAACAAACATAACTTTTCAAGCAATTTCCATACATTTTTCTCGCATTTTTCACCCTTTTCAATACATTTAATACATATACGTTTCTTATCCTCCCCAAAACGTACCATAATTTTTCAGGGCATTCTTCCTCTATCGACAATATGGGCCGGTTTCACTTTTATTTACCTTTCCTGCATTTTTTTTCAATTAAGAACAATTGTCAAAAAAATTACTCTTAGAAGTAAAAAAATTTATTTTTAGACATTATCTATTCATTTTTCATGAAGTCCGTGCGTTGGAAATTTATCAGCATACACGGTTTTGAATTAAATACGGATTACTTCATCTACGACTAAATATTTTGGAATTCAATAAAAATATTCAAACAGCAAATAGATCTTTGATTGCACTATCTGTTTCATGCAGTGAGTCATGTTGTCTAAGCGCGATGCAGGCGAGGTCTGTATCCCTCATGAAACCTTCAAAACAATGAAAAATACTCCATGCTTGACGACAATATAGAGACAGACTGATTAGTAAGTAACAAAGATTTATTCATGAGTATTTAACGAATGGTTGTAGGTAAATAACGTTGAATTTATCTGGAAGTGCGATGAAAACCTACGGCTAAGTGAATTACCACGAACAAAATAAACCGATGCCAACGTTTTAATATTCACTTAAAGAACAAATAATATGATAATAATGTTTTTATAATGTATTCATCATATTATTATCATATAAATATTACTATCATTATTATGTATCATATATATTCATTATTATCATAGAACACAAATTCCTTACTAGGTTTGCAAAGCACGTGACGCCGCACACGAGCAAGACGGCGGAGCTTGGAAATGAGTAGAAAGTTTGGTGCCATTTTGATCCTAACTTTCATTTGCAGCGCACAACATGCCGACGTGCCTCCTCAAAGCTTGCAGTGACCTCTTCAGTAACGGGGTAATTCTACCGCATGAATAAATAGCACAGAGGCAAGCACTTAGAACGTTAGCAATTGCTCGGTCATTGAAACGACGATGCGTGTGATGGTTCGAGAACAAATCAAAATCATAGGCAGGAGATAATGTGTAAAACGAAAATGGAAGATATATAATCTTAGTGAAATCTTTAAAACCTATTGAAGAGAAATGACCAAAGCCTTGTACGGAACTTTTAGAATTGTAAAAATAAACATTTTGAAGGAGCATGCGAATTTCAACCAAAGCTAATTTAATTGTTTAATAATAATAATAGCATCTTCCAGAATTTAAAATAGGTCGTGAGAACAATGGTGATAGGTCCATCACTAAGCAGGCCTGAAATTGCGCTAAAACTTTGCTTTTAGTGGCTCATGAGCTATCAAGACAACGAGTTTCAGATAAGAGATAAGATGAGACGCTCTTTTTTTATTTCCACGTGTGAACGCTGTTCGGTGTCGTGGCTGCGATGAGCTTGTGTATCTACATAGAAGGCTTGTTAGTGCAATCAATTCAACCGTGTAATTAACATAATAAACCTTCAAATTTCTACACCATTCAAGTCGAGCCACTAGATTAATTTACAAATCAGCAACACAACTCTTCGTATTACGTTGATATTGACAAATGAACTAAATTAATTAGATTAATAAATTATTTAATTAATTCATTAATTCGATAATTTGCGAATCAGATGTCACACTTGATTTCCACATGATTTCAAAGGAGTTTTTCTCAACAAAAATGTCCAAAAGAATGACTGGATATCTCGATTAGAGCTGAGATTGCAAGCAAAGCTAAAGCAGATGAAAGGATGGGAGGGGGGGGCGATGACGTCATCGAGCCAGGCTCGGAGGTTGTCTCCCATTGTACTGCCACCAGACTCAGCGGCGCCTCAGCCAGCCAGATGCCAACGCATTATTTCTCATCTGATCTTACTAGAATTTTACTCGGCATACTCTCAAGTCCAAGATTATGTTACACATTTTACAAACCGAACTTGTCTAGTACAGCTTTCCTTTAGATTCCAGATTTTCGTACCGTGTTCAAAAAATTTTCCTAAACTAAAAGCTATTTCGAAGCTCGAACTTAAATTTTAAATTACTTTGGCATATCAGTTGGATTAAATTGCTTTCTTGTAGGCTAGAATCCTTTTGTTCATGAAGCACTGAACATTCGCACATGCCGAACGACTTTATTATTGGCGAACGTAACTAACTGCTTTGGAATACAAGGTGGTAACATTAATATTTCAAAATACGGCAGATGATAATTGTTTTAAGAAAATTATCTTTGGAGTTCTCATTGTTCATGATCAGACAACGTCATATCATGGCTACAACATGTTATACATTTTTGGCTGAGTTATTTGAGGCAGCACTCGAGAGGCTGAATAATTGGCACGTAAGAGCAACTTGTTCTTCCCTCAAGAACAAGTTACACCGCAGCCACTGCGCAGTACATCAGGTTTTGAACACAAACTGCACGCCAAATTCTTGCCGCTTCGCATACGAAATGCACCATAGGCATTAACTTATTTGCATGGAAGTAAGATGAATGTATGATATGCGCTGGCAGCAGATATATAACGGCATTATGTGGTGGGACGAGCAATAAATATTAAGTGGAGGGCCGAAATACGGTATTACTATTATAAACGTCGACGATCGATATCGACAAGATGCCTATAGGCACAAAAAAACCCAACGCATGTACGGCATAAATGATCCGTAGGCAACAAGAAAATCAAATCGTATACCTACATAAATTGCAGACATAGAACTGAAGTCACGAAGAGTAGCAAAATCGAGTCGTACTTAAATGGCACGTCTTCACTGATCATAAGGGAGCAGCAATAAGCAATACTCACATGGTTGAGATGACTGTGACTGGTCTGAGGTGGAGGAGCGTCCTGGAAGAAGATGCTTAAGGCGGTCTGTCAGGTTTAAAGACAAAGCTTAATTAATGACCATAGATTATGGAATATATATACATAAGCAAATACTTACACCAGCGCATCGAGCTGCATTCAATTTGTTGTCATATTTGTCCAAATGTTTGCATTTATTTGGAGTAGTTTTGAGATACAAACATTTTCTATACTCCAATTACGTAGTCAATATTTTTACATTGCGTTTCTACACAACTGAAAGTCCGAGTAAAATAAATCATTCTATAATCTACAAGCCCACAATTTTCACTGAGATTAGCAATATTAACACATTTCATATACTAGCCAAATCATCCCCCATTCTTGAGCAAGTATGTCCATGTTACTCCGGCCTACTTGCATGTGTAAGCAGTAGGTAAAACTCATCAATGTTAGCATATCTTTTCAATATTGATTCTGAAACTCTATGCTCAGGCCTTGAACTTCTACCAGCACCTCACACGTACTGAGCTCGTCACAAGCGCAACGAGCGCTTGTTATACTGAGCCAAGTTTTTAAACTTGCCAAAAACTCGACTGCTACTCGCTCACACAAGTGCCTCGGGCAAACTTCGTTCTCATACGGTGGAGGAATAAGTACTACCTAGTTGGAGAACTTATATGACATTATGGATGTATACTGTTAAAGAAGTCACAATGTTAAACTATAGGATAAGTTTTACCACTTAATATTAAATGCCCAAAACTAAAACTTCCACAAGGCTGTAAAATTTTTGTGCATTTATTTTTTGCGATCAACCTGTATATATTTTCTAGTACAGATCAATTGCTATTGAAAAAACAATAAAATTTAATGTGACAAACTGAATGTTAATGACGAGGCTAGTTGGTTAAATTCCGTAATTTACCGTTTTATGCGAAGCGAAGTTTCCAAAAACTAATAGTTTAACAAACTATGCAATTATATGGATACTAATAATGCCTATTTTGATTAAGATAAGTAGCACATGTAGTAACTCAAAGATCAGTGAAACGTACAATTATTACTAAATTTTCGATCATAAATCTTCTACGGAAATGTAAACAAAAAGTTAATTAAATTACACCAACTTATAAATTAAAGTTATCATTTTCAACCTTCAAATTGTAAGTGAGTGTAATCCAAGACAAGACAGGTAATGCATCAAGGATCAAGCCAGCAACATACAGGCACAATTCAATACAGGCAAGTCTCGAAACACCAACATACAACAAGCACAACACAATTAAAACAAGCACAATTCAGTACAGTCACTTCGTGAAGCCAGCAACAGAAGACTCGCCTCGAACTGCCAGTGCGCGGCCTGCAGCAGCTGCCTCGCCTGCTCTCTGGACGTCCCCACAGCCATAACGAACTGATTGATCATCACCTGCCATAAACAAGTCTTATTCATTTTCGATTTTCTCAAATATTCATCACTTTTTCTTTCCAAATAGCATTAATACTCATTATTAACAATTTCTACACATCTATACATACTGATCATTGCGATTATATATAAAAAGTATATTAAATGTGACCAAATCTTGTATAATCGTTGCTCTGAGTCGAATCAGCTCCTATATCGCAATACTTCATTATAGAATCAATAATACATTGCACCAGTTCAATACAATTACATTACACGAATAACAAGAATGAGTGTAAGTGAGAAAATAGCGAAAACGTCGCAGCCTCAATCTCTCGTCGCCCCTTAAACAGGAATCAACAACTAGCCGACACTTCATCTTCCTATTACGATACTTCTACATGCCTAGCTTCGATGCCTGCAGCACCAGGCTTCAGAATCAAACGATCACAAGGTTTACCTAAACAATTATGGCATAAGACTGACTGATGTTGATATTTTCGTAAAGCTGCATGTAGCGAACAGAATGTTTCGGTCAAAGGAAGACATTATTTCAGTGTGAGTGAGCCTCAACACTGTGTTAAATAGTCGGTTCAACGACGGAGAAAGTACCGCTGACTTTGAGTAGGTCAGTGAAGTATGTATTGTCAATAATTAAAGTGTGTGATGCCATAAGATTACACAGAGGATGTTGCATCAGGACTCGCTGCATATGGACACCCGTTCTCTCAGCGGATGCATGGATATCGTCATCAGGATGCACTTGACATTATATGAATGCAAGCTTTACGTAATGAGTCGTACAGGTACAAAAACCACCAACAGCTGTTTCTATATTATGATTTAAACACAAAAGTGGACAATAAATAATAAATGCTAATGTGAAATCTTACAAACAGCACCTCCCCCACATCCTCAGGTTTGTTTTGTAGCCACGGTTAACTAGTATATGTACATAACAGAGCCATAACAGACAGAGCCATATATACATGTATACGTATACGGCTTTGTCACTGACCATTCATCTGGGGAACAACTTCTGCATAACATTACTCCTTTAGATGCTCGAGAAAAAAAATTATATCAGTAATATCAGTAAATTGTTGATATCGCATTTTATGGAAGTTTGTTTGTTCCACCTGTAATGAAATTCCCCAATATTCCACAAAATTTATAACAACTATTTATTATGAATAGTCATATTGTATATGATGAAATAAATTTTCCGCAGTTTGTCCGCAAAATTTATTTCATGAAGTTCACGCGAGAATATATCATAGAATTTATCGCATTTTCCAGTAATCTTACCAGAAATTTGTTTCTTCTTTATGTCCACTGATTAGTTTTTGCATGTTCGAATCACAGTCTGACCGTTAAGGGATAAGAGGAAAAAAAACCCTCGGCAAGAGCTGCAGGGGAATTCATGGCTGACGTAACGGGCATAGCAACACGAGCACCATCTGTGCGTGCTCTACTTGCGGCTAATCGTTGAACGTCATGATCATTGACCAATGCTTGTAACGCATCCATGGAAGCAGAAGCATTATAGAACTCCAAGCTGCTCCGTCGATAAGTATTCAACTCCAGCAACGCAGATGCATGCTTGGCGCAAATGCATTGCCATGCTTGTCTAGGCAATATTTCAAAAGTAATAAACAATTAGAGAGAGATTACGGGTAATGGTGGTACGAATAGAAATTGTGAAAACTTGAGATGCAATTCTTTATCAAAAAATTAATTTTTGTTATTTAAAACTTGTAGACGTCGAACATTGGAGAGGTTTCCTGTTCAATATACATTATACTGTGCATTGATGCAAGCTCACCACGGACTATCTGCAAACAAACACTAATCAAAATAAATGAGATACAAGGGACAGGCGACTATAACCTTCGATCTTGACAGTGAGCTACTGTGAGAAAGCACAGTGAGCACGACAGCCAAGGCCCCTAGCAGCCCGAGTGTCAAGACCATGCGAGAGAGGAGAGATGACTCATCACATCAACAGCATATTGCATCAGATAAACAAAGGCTCGACCGCACAAAGGCTTAGACCAATGTAAAATAGCTTACGTGTAAAGCATCGTACTATTGACGCATTTGGAGCATGATTAGCTCGCGCTATCTTGCCTTGTGCATCTTTTTGCGCGTACTACAACAATATTATTGGGACAACGGTGGCCAGCGATAGTCTACGCGTGCGTTCCAATAGTCGCAAATGTAACGAGGGCACTTGTTTGGCATGCATTAGTAAGCATGCGAGTAATCAAGCATGAGTATCATGTTTCCATAGCATCATGCAAGCATGGAAATTATACAAGCATGAAAATCATACAAGCATGCTCATTAGCATGTAAGGGCATTAGCAAGCATGTGCATTAGCAAGCCTGAACATTAGCAAGCATGCGCATGAGCAAGCATGAGCATTAGCAACCATGCGCATTAGCAAGCGAAGTACAACAAGCTGTAGGGGTGGATGCCACCCCTACCGCCACTGGTGCGGCGGTAGGGGTGGATGTTGACGTTCCGTGAGGCATGCATCAGCAATGTATCGCATGACCGTCTCACAAACGTTATGCAGTACCATAGAAACCCCTTCTAAGCAGATTGTTAGAGTTATAGGAAGAAATTGTTATAGAAGAAATATATGGCCACCTAACCAGAGCTTAACTTTGATCAGTTACAGCTTGTTTGTATAATTTTATCATAATTCTAAATTCGAAACCTTATTTTAGCCCATAAATGAGGGTGGAAATTACACATGCTGGACACCTATTGGACAGATTTTTTTTATTTAAGGAACGAAATTTAGAACGTTTAACGTAAACTTAATGAAATAAGACGAATTTTTGATCACATGACGGGAACAACTTTCGAAATCTATCTTTCAGTTTCGAATAAAAACTAAAAAATTTCGGCCTATTAAATAAAATAGTTGTTCACGATTCATACGATTAGTTACAGAGTATAGTGCAATTATATAACTAATACTTAACATAACGTCTAACGTCAGTTAATGAGCGAATAAACCCACTTATAGTAAGCTTCGTCATAACTTGAATGAAATCGATAAAAAAAACTCTCCAACAACAAGCGCGTGTGTTGCCACGCACGATAATAATTGTTATGCTTTAGCTTATAACAGATCTAAGTCAAGCTACACTGAAAATCTTTAATAACGGAGTAAAATCAGTAATTCTTCGGACAATAGAACCAATAATTAAGAGATCCATGATAAATGTGCTTATTAGCGCTAAGGCATAAAGCTTTCTTAGTAACAGCGTATAATATTAGCATTTAGCAATACTTTCCTCGCAGCCGCATTATTACTAGACGGTTAGTTTTCAACAATTTCGCGACATTCTCTCCTACGGTAGTGGTGTTGCCTGGTACACTACGTACGTTACGATATGACGCAGCTTGTTTAGAGTATAATACAGTAGAGGTCGGCTTTAAAGGTGGCTGAGTGCTGAAAACTTTTTAGCTTTCATAAGAGTACAATCGTCGGCGGTCGGACTCGTCTTCATTAAAAATGGCTTCATATCAAATTGATATTGCAAGAACTTAATCAATAGTCTAGAGTGGTATTGGAATGATAATCGCTGTGCATAATAGAATAATAATATTTCTGTTGAAATCATTTTCCGAAGGAGTGCACCTCATCTTGATAAAGTTGCTTCGGAAAGATGGGACAGGGCTTTTTGTATGATCAACCTAATTAGCTCACTTCAGCATGACACCAATTCTGAGAGAAAGTGAGAAACTGAGAAATGTTCTAACCTCGGCTTCATAAACTTTAGCACGAAACTTTTGCTATGTTTAACATACCTATATCGTATATGCATGCTCAGCATTCCCGTAAGATGAAAAACGTGTATCCACCTGACCAAGTTTTAATTTGTAGACAGAAATAATTCCTGAGAGACACAAAATTTTCATAGGTAGTTCAGGAAAGACGTACAACAAAACTGAATATTCGTAATATTTCTGTGCTATTGATGCAGTTTTAAATAATATGATGTTCAATTTTATCTAAAATTTGTGTTATCCTATTTTAAAATACAGGAAGAGCTTATTCAAAATTATCAGTCATTTCAAAGCGAGTGATGACTAATAGGAATAACTAACCACGAGGCAATAAGTTGTCTCACACCGCAAAACCGAGGAAGTATTCCTTCGTTCCCAGCGTCGAAAAATTGATCATTGGCCAAACTAATTTTACATCATGCGAAAAAAATATAAATTAAACTAACGAAAACAAGTATACAAGCAGGTTAAAATTACTCCCAAAATTTTGATTTACAAGGTATGCCTTAACAAACAATTTTAGGCTTAATTTAGAAGGGGTACCTGCTCTCGGAGAGTATTGTCCATTGCTCCTGATTATTACAATGCCTACTACCTACTTCGACACTATCATCGACCACACTGCCAATGTTTTGGAAGCACAGATGGCTCATGTTCCAATACTATAACGCTCAGCTCAAGCGTGCCACATAACCAAAAATAACGGCACAGATATTAAAAAGCTAATATGAATTACGAAATTATATTGTTCAAAGTAAGACTTGAGCACTAGATATTCTGACGAAGATTTTTTTAAATAGTTCCGCTGTATTGAATTACAGCTGACATTATGGCACTCGGCATCTCCACGGGAGCTTCTGTGTACACAAAGAAATGACTAAGCATTCAAATATGAATTCGTCATGTTCCTATCAAACAACCATTTGAATGCTTTCTTTCTATGCTATACAAGAACATTCTAGATCAAATATGCCTGCCTATTTTCTGTTGGAATACAAATGAACTGAATGAGTTATTTTTAAAATGCTTTCGATGCAGTCTGCGAATATAAGATTGTTTACAACCGAGCATTCAACTTTGAGCAATTCTTTTTTTTTATTTAGATGACTAAGCCCAAAAGATTTACAGCTGGTATAAAAGATTGTATGATGCCTGCCTTTGCTTAAGGACTATATATATTCTTCTCAATGCTTTTAATTTACCAATATGTTTTCATAACTTACTGCAAGTTGAAATTTAAACCATACTATTTTCTTGGGAGCACCAAATTGATAACAATTAACTACAACTATAATTTCATCAGTCATATTCCTGAAAATTTCTTAAGGTCGTTCTTAAGAGATGTCTTTTGATTAACTTTTCTGCAATTTTACGCATCAACTTGCAGTGTTAGACGTTAGTCGGTGGAATACCATCGAGATCATTTAATGGTTACGTTTCAGCAAAAGTATTTTCTTTCATGTGAGCAAAAAACGATGTTTAATTTTATGGATGTCTCAAGTAAATATTTCTTGGATAGTAATTTCGCTGCTCTTTTTCTTTGTTAGATTATCAAATGAACCTATCTTTTTGCAACGAAAACCGTCATACTTTGTGTTTTTTTTGACAGTCAGACTAATTATTTCCATTTATTCAAATTTCATTGGATAAACTTGATGACTGCCAAATTCCCACTCGATCGACAATTCTACGGACTCGCCAGCGGACTCGCCTGCGGACTCGCGCAACTGGGCCACTCATAATTCCTTAAACTTAACGGATCTGTATTAATTTTGGAATATGAGTATTAATTATCGATACGCTGCCGCAGGAATCATTACAGATTTTTACATGAATTATTTTTTAATTAAAACTAAAAACGTATTTTTTAAGCAACTGGGCCACTCATAATTCCTTCATCTCGGTCATCCCAGCATTTCTGCATGAACAGGTGCATCATTTGGCGGCCGATCTTACATGAATCCTCTTAGCATTACCTACTCACACATATATGCCTTGTAGAATTGCAGGATTAAATTTTACAATAATTATCTATTGCTCATACCATATTTACCTTAGAATTGCGCGCTCCAATCCTCCGATAATTACCTTATAATCACACAATAATTACCTCAGAATTGCGCGCTCTAATCCTCCAATAAATACCTCAGAATACATGCTTTAATCCTAAAATAATTACCTTCTACTCACGCTATAAATACCTTAGAATTGCACATTTACTGCTACAATTGTTATTTTTAATCACATAATAAATGTCATAGAATTCCGCCATTATTCAGTTATTCATAAATGAGGATTAAAGATTTCCTGCTTATTTCTTGAAAGATCTTAACTGTACAGGTGATGCATTTTAACTCTTTCCTTGCACTGCTTACAATTGAGTTTATTTACTATAAAATAAAAAAATACTATAAAAGTTTATTTGCTATAAAACGTGAGGTGATTATCTGAATAAGATGTTTGTCAGGGGTGAACACTGAACATGTTAGTCTTAGGGTCAACATGTTGGTCGTGGCGGTGAACATGTTCGATTGTTGGTCGTAGTGGTGAACATGTTGGTCGTAAGGTGAACATGTTTGTCGTGGCAGTGAATATGATGATCGTAGAGTGAACATGTTTGTCGTCACGGGAACATGTCTTTTGGAGTGAACCTGTGGGCCTTATGAGGAACATGTTGGTCGTGGCGGTGAACATGTTGGTAGTGACGGTGAACATGTAGGTCGTGACAGTGAACATGTTGGTAGTGGTGGCGAACATGTTGATAGTGACGGTGAACATGTTGTGATGATGATGAACATGTTATTGACCCATCACCTTGGGCAGGCTTATAGCTCTAAGGAAATGATCCACGATGTAGCTATAGGGCCTGCTATCACGGTGACGACTGACATGTTTTACTTCGTAGGATACTCTACAGTCTATCCTATTATCTGTAGCTTGCCAGCGCATGGAAAGTAATAAAAATGTGATGGTGGAATTGCCCGAATTGGGCAATGCAGGCTACTAACATGCATTCCCCGAGAGATGGAATGAAACTAAAATGTGTTATGTACATAACATTTTTATACATTTTTGTTGAAAATATCAAAGTTCATGGCCTTCCAAGAAATTTAATATAATAATTTTTACTTCTTGATCTGATGAGACTTATATGATGAAACTGGTAAAACAATGCATAACGAGCCAGCGTCTATGTAATGTACAGAATTTGTTTTTTTTTTTCTTGAATTTTCTAGCCAGTTGGCGTAAGTAAAAAACATAAGCGTCGAGAGATCAGTGACGAAAGCCTTGCAAAAAAATGCTGCAATATATGTTTGTATGTTTGATAACACTGCATCAAATGTCCATTGTGGTAGGTGTAGTTTGCACGCTAGTTTATATACTTGGTTAAGGCTGGATCTCACTCATGTATAAGCTTGACACGAGAGCATGGTCGCCTTTCCTTAATTGAGTTGCTCATATAAATTTTAAACCGCCATTGCTCTTTATGCCTGCACGTGTGAGTCGTTATGAAATCAAATCGCGCAAATCCAGGAAAATCATGAGCTTTATTGTTATATTAAAGTTTAAGAAGCACTTCATTTGATAAAAGTTTGTTACCTGTTATTTGATAATCGTAAACACTAAAAAGCGCTTTAAATAGTTTATGTTTAGCCATTGTTCATATCCCAACTCTAAAGATACAATGAGCATGGCTTGCCGCAATAACATGCTTTGGATGAAGTGTATAGCTGATAATATAAAGATATTATGATAAATAATATTTAAATACTCGTATTTTTGTTCCGATTTTAAGTTGTCTCCGGGTTGTTGAGCCTCCTAATTTTAGGCATAGTCGTTAAGTCAATTTTAGGTGGCTGAAGCCCCTATATAATTTAATGTTAATTTGTTAAAAAAATGCCGATGATTTCCGTAATATGTAACTTGGTCACCTGGATAAAAGTTTAAATAAATAAACATTCATAAATCCAATCATTATTGACTTAATGGCTCAGTCGCCGCTGTCTTAAAACATGTAGGCTCATCCCCTATTCCATAAAACCTAGTGACGCGGCTGGTGGCCACACTTCATGCAAGCAACACATTTTTTATCGACATTTCTTTGTAGTTCTCCAAATCATTTCAGTTTTATCCGTAGCTTTTCTGCTTAGGTTTAACAATTAAAATGATTATTAGTATTAAGATACGTTCAATAAGCTGTCGATAGGCGATGAACCTTTAGCAACGAGACTCTATAGACTAATGAAAAGACGGTAACAGGCGAGAGAATGCTAGTCAGCTGTCTGCGTACGAAATGCTGGGAAGTTAGCTTCGACAGAGTGCTCGGTTGTTCTTCTTATTGCTGTTGCTTATTGTATGTGCGGTCGATACCGTTCGTGATGGTGCTGAGCAAGCGACTCATTCTTAAAAAATGCGTTCAGCGAACAATTATCTTTATACAAATTTATTCATATGCGTCAGTCAAGGAATATTTGTTTTTACTGGAACTTGCACAACTAATGATGTTCTCAGAAGTCAATTGCAGCGGTGTTTAATGATCGCCTGGGAAGCAGATATTCATGACGTCACCGATTTGAGCGTCTCTGGTTGGTCGGCGCTCGTGATGTCAGAGGACATTGACGTGATGCTCACCATTGTCCAATGTTTTAGTCTCGCGTTGGCGCTGCTGAGGGGTGGTGTGTGACGAAAGTGCGGTGATCAATGCGTTTATTTATGTGTGGCATATGGAAAATGGTTATTCGGTTTGATATTATAATAATAAGTGTTGATGAGTTTTATGCTTGTAGAGTGTAGTTGTTTGAGTGTCTTTGACATGCCAGAGGTAACTGGATGGGCGTGTACTGAACGCCTCTCCACACCGCAATCCTCGTCGCTCGCGTTCACTCAAAAGATCGACGACCAAAATCTGAATATTGTACCTTTATTTGAGTTTTAAATCCTATTTGTGCATCATTCATGGGAGTTAACGTATCAACTTAAATTGGCAATATTCCACTTATATATAATTTTGATAAATTACTGAAAGACTGAGGTTGCTCAGTCAGTCAACCACTCACACTCACCAGGTGCGAATTTCTAAGAATTTTATTTATATTTCATTTATTTTTGACGGATCTAAATGCTCCTTCACGGTTGAATAGTTTCATTTTAATTTGCCGCAACTTTTAAAAGAATTGAAAACTGGAAGAAAAATTAGAACAAGTTTTAAAATTAATTCAATGCAAACCCTTTTGATATTTTCGTGGTGTTATACCTATTTCTCATTGCTAGTGAACGATCAACGCCTCGCCAAATGGCCAAAAAATATAAAAATTACCTGAAAATGATTTTTTTATACCTGTAGCATTAAAATTTATTACTTTCATCTTCAATAAATTGACGGCACGGTATTCAAAGTATTTATTAGGTATCAGAAGCAAATGGGTGAGACCAGGGTGACACAAAAACGGGTTGTTGCGACCGCAACAATGCACACTTGGTAGAGTAGGTTACTAACTTACTAAGGACATAGAGGGACTCCAAGCCTCCAATGATATCCGAGAAATTTTATAGCTAAAAGTAAATTATAGAGAAAATCGAAATTATTGTCCACGATATATTGCATGTTTATATTTTAATTGTTATGTTAAAGAAACCAGTAAACGAACAGTGTCCTCACAGGTCGCTGGAGGAAGAAGAAGTAGGTGCCTAACATGGATGTGTCGCGCAGTGCAGATGCATCCGACCGGTGCTCATTCTTCTAGCGCTATGATATGCGCCAGTACCGATGACCACATAGGGTCTGTGTCATCCGCTGCGGTTGGTCCTTTCCAATCCTCCTTCAGGAGAAAAATTTCTTCTGAAGTTCACCTAACACCTTCATCGGACTCCCTCGTTACCCCGACCCAAGAAGCCCTGGCGAGTGCCGTTGGGGCTTTGACTTGCAGCCCGAGCATGCCTTTAGCTCGGGCCAAATCCTTATTGGCAACCCTCAACCCCGACGCTGTTATCACTGACACCTCTCTATCTAACACATCACTCAATGCTAACAGTACTTCACAAAATTTCTTGTTCGACTCACGCAACGCTACCTCTTCAGTCAGTGCTGCTTCTAGCGCAGGAGGTGGTATCGGTTCAACTAGCGGTCTCTGTGGTGATAACGGCGGTGTTTTTGGTGACGCTAGTTTACAAGGAACCGCCCTCCTTCCTCCTCTTTACCAAATGCCTATCATAAGAACAACTACGTCTTCGCAGTTTAAACAGCTCTTCGGCGAAAACGGTAACAGTAATGCCGAACAGCCGCAGCAGCAGCAACAACAAACTCAGCACAACGGCACAACCAACACATCCAACCGCACCAATGACACGTCCTTGCCTGTCATGCGGCCATCGTCTGTTGACTCGAATAGCGTCAAAAATGGCGCGACGAGGATCAAAACATACGTCGCTACCCCCGATCAAGTAATGAAGTATTATATGAATAAGTTGACGCCGTACGAGCATAAAGAAATTTTTACCTACAGTCATATATATTTCATAGGCGCCAATGCCAAGAAAAGGCCAGGGGTTGGCGATACAAACAACCCAGCCAGTTCAAACTACGGATACGACGACGCTCAAGGCTCATACATACACATCCCTCACGACCACATTCAGTATAGATACGAGGTGCTAAAGGTAATCGGGAAAGGTTCCTTTGGCCAGGTATTGAAAGCTTATGATCATAAGAACCACATGCACGTTGCACTCAAGATCGTAAGAAATGAGAAACGCTTCCATAGACAAGCTCAGGAAGAAATTCGTATCCTCGAACATCTCAGAAAACAAGACAAAGATAACACAGTCAATATTATCCACATGTTTGACCACTTCAACTTCCGGTGTCACACGTGCATCACGTTTGAGCTTCTCTCAATCAATCTCTATGAGCTCATCAAGAAGAATAAGTTCATGGGCTTCAGTTTACAGCTCGTCAGAAAATTTGCTCACAGTTTACTTTTCTGCCTCGACACGTTGCACAAAAATAAAATTATTCATTGTGACATGAAGCCTGAAAACGTTCTTCTCAAGCAGCAGGGTCGCAGTGGAATCAAGGTGAGAGTTTTTCTATTTAAAATGTTTACCTTGAATTGTATCTTAAATCATATTCATGAATTTGTATCTTAAATCATAATTGCATTGTCTCTATGTTTTGTTTTCAATATGATAGTTTGATGTCGGTTCCTAGGGGATATTTTCTCGAAATTTTAATTTTGTTGTAGTTGTTGATTTGTTGTTCTTTTTCGAAGGCAAGAGATAACTAAGAAAGCCTCAAATTATTGAGATTAAGCGCTTTGTCAACTTAGATTTGAGAAGTTACTGTTTCAAATTTCACGGCATTACGAATGACATTGCGTTTCTGGGCATTGTTTTACTTGTGTGACCATTTTTTTTTCTTGATTAATATTCAATCACGACTCCATTATCGGTGTCACAGAAAAAAAATTTAAATTGCAAGTTTTTCGCACTGCTGTCTTCGAATCGCGTACCTTCGATGTAACAATCACTCGCAATTTGGAGCTATATTTTCAGTTCTAAGGGTTCGTTTATATTATCGTTGTAATTGTGTTAAAGGTCTTCTGACCCTGTATTGAAGAATCTATTCGCCTCGAATTCTGGGTCACTTCTCTAGCTTCGTCATCGACCCAGCCTATACATGCTGGCTTCAGTTCGTGTTATTCGAGTGAAGGATTGCGTTGACCCTAATAAATGATTTGCTTACTTCTCTAAGACTAGATATAATGTTGAGGGTTGCCAGAACCCTAATTCTTAGTGTCTAAATGTATGTGAAACAAATGTATGTATTCGAGCTAAAATGTACAAAATATAATGAATTAGCTTATGAAATGTGTCCGTGTGGTATTGAAATCGTAACTTTGGCCAATCTGCTAATCTGTCCAATATCAGTGAAATCAAGTTTATGATTACGTAAATGCTTTGAACGTGGATTCAGTTCGATTGAAAAAAATATGAACTGATGAGAAATGAAAGTATAAATAACTGAATGAAGAATTCAACAGTCTTAATAAAGTGTCCCGTCTTCGTGATTAGATATCAACTGAAATCGGACGCGGTATAGCTTTGTTGACCGTATAACATTTGTTATCAGTTTTAAAGTTCACGCTTTTCTTATAAATGACTCTTATCGGGTTCGTGTATGATGCTATCGTGCTTTAGTTATAGTGATGTATTGTGTCTAATGAAAATGAGGAAATCCACAAAATAATCGGGCTCCCATAATACAGGATTATATACGTATAACTGCGATAATAGGCTTATACATTTCGATGTCATTAGAGCAGCTCATTCTGCTATCGGTCTTGAGAAAAGTTTTTTCAATACTGATATTATTGTATAAAAGTTTGTCATGAAATTGAGTAACAAAAGTATTTATCGATTATATAGAATTTGATTATGATATAACAGTGAATGATACACAAATTAGTATGAGTATGTGCTTAGCCATTTGCCAATAAGCTTTAAATTCTATGCATTTATAGATGGAATTTTTATACTATGTATAGTTTCATGTTTTCATGACAACTCAAGACAGTTTCCTCGATAGAAAGTCATTTGCTCATTAGTGGTTTTACGTTAGCATCTCTATTCATAATTATTAGGAATTATAGAAAAAGTATTGAATTCATTATTCCAAGTATAATTTTCTTTTGGAGAATTAAATATTTTGTGTGAAGGATCCTGCACCTTTATTATAGAAACGTGCAACGGGGCTCGTGGCAATTACAGGAAAAAAGTTAGGAGTTCTGACGGAAGTAGGACTGGTCAATAAATAGCATCAGTCGCGGTATCATTGAAAAAATTCAAGCTGATGTTGGCAATGATGTGAGATCTACCAGAAATGAAAATGAAACCTATACAAAGCCAGCAACTAGCTGTAGCGTTCGAGCTCTGGACGTCGCATACGGCAATAGACGTTTTTATACACTGTGCATACTTTGCAAATCGGGTGTTATACCAGTTTTACTGTTACATATTGTCAAGGAAATTATATTATCATCTGATGGTGCAGTTACCTCGAACTTCATTCACGTGGGCATAGAATTGTACATCGTGTGAACGTTATTTTAGAGAATAGTATGTGAGCTTTATTGTTGAGTTTGCTCAAGTTATGTTATCGATGCAGTGATTATGTATTTATTGACCTTAGAGTGATCTATCAACTTGGTCAGGTGTTGTATTGTGGGATAAAACCAATTGTTGCATTAAAATAACCAGCACCACCCTTTTCACTGTTCTCCGCCACGATATTTAACCAGATAAGATTACTTTCCGTTGTACTATAAACTTGCGATTACAGCCCGCAGGTGTTTGTGGATTCCACAGCTTCTTGCTTTCCCGATTGAAGTGAATATTTTTAATATGTACTCATTTTACTGGGTAACTGGAATTAAAATTAAGCTGACTCAGAGTCATTGAATAAAATTCGATTGATGGGAAATATTTAGACTGTTCATTATATAACGAATTTCTCATTGTGAGCTGTTTTAGTATAAAAATTTGCGCCGTTTAATTCGATAACTACACCGCAAGCTGACGTAAAGATACAGCACGCATTAAAGCTGTTTTTGTCTCAGTCTTCACCTGCACCGTACTCAAGATGATAAAAATTATGATTGTGATGAGTCAGTTGACGATAGCGATAATTTTTTTAGTCATGTTGTTCACTAAATGAGCTCAGCACAATATTTTGATACTTTTTAATAATACAACAGGGAAATAAATTGAAATTGTTGATTTGTCTGAACTGGAGCATATACCTATGAGTATATTAGCTTTATAAATAGGTCGTTATTCCATCCTCGTGAGTTATCCTTATTGCGCTATCTCACGTATGATGTTTGCGTTTAATCTTATCTGTGGCTTGATAAAGCGTGTTGTCCTGACTTTGGCAAGACAAATATTACAGTATTGAAAGATCTCTTCATGTGATCACTCGCGGAGAAATTGTGCGCTCGAAGCTTGCAGATTTTTTAAAAGTTTAAAACTTATGCGATTTATATAACTATTAAATTTACTGTATGTTTGCAACAGAAAATTAATATCTCCAAGTAAATTTTAGTAATATTGTTTATAATGACTAAGAATTTCTTCGCTCCTCACTCAAGGCTACCAGACTCTCCCATTGAGCCAATCCCGTTGGTTCGCCAGGCTCAGCTGGCCAGGGCTTCTAGTTTGATGGTTCCAACAGTGTCCATGCGAGTACCTCAAGCCCATGTGCATTCACATGCTACGCAGTTGGTGGACCAGTCGTTGCGATCCTGTAAACGAACTCCTCAGGAGGTCCTTACGAATTACCCTCATCATCTCACGGAATATGAGAAAGAAGAAATTCTCGGCTATGGAACTAGTGGAATTTATTATACCGGTGGTCGTGCCAATAAATTACGTGTACCCAAAACCTCCTCAAATGATAATATGAAGCTTTTTGATGATAAAGACGGACATCTGGCGTTGGTTGTGCATGATCATATTGCCTACAGATACGAAGTGATAGCAGTGATCGGCAAAGGGAGCTTCTGTCGGATGATCAAAGCATTCGATCACAAACACCGGAGACTCTGTGCCATTAAAGTCATTAGAAATGACGCAACATTAGAACCACTGATAAGGAGCGAAATTTCAATCCTGAATATATTTCTCCAAAAAAATCTCACGGATAAAGCTAATGTGGTGCGGCTACTGAACAGTTTTAGATTTAGACATCACAAGTGCCTAGTGTTCGAGCTGCTGTATATGAGCCTGTATGACAGCCTTAAATACAACCAGTTTCAGGGCATGGACATGGAACAGGTTGAGTTTATGGCATTTCAGCTTCTGCAGTGCCTAACGGTGTTGTATGAACATCGTATAATTCACACAGATCTCAAACCTGAGAACATCCTGCTGAAATGCATGGGTAGTTCACAGATCAAGGTACCTAACATAGAGTTATTTGTAGCGTTTAAATAATTTAAAATTCCCAGAATGTATCGTTGAAAAATTTCTGCTTATTTACCTGTTGGAATAGTAAGAAAATACGTGCAATTGCACGTATTTTTAAGCAGGCTTTCTATATAAATTGTTTCTGCATCTAGTGACAACACTCACGAATGAAAATCAATTAATTTCAAGTCGTGCTTGAAGTTTGTACTCGTCCTTATATTTCTTTTAATGCCGTGGGGCGAAAATATCCAATAAAAATTCATGTGAAGGGCTTAGTCAGCATATCAAGCGACAAGACCTTCGCTCGTACCAGACGTACTATGGATGATTGATTTACTTCCTTGAATAAACGAAATTCTTAGCTATGCGCTCGGTGAATCGCTGTGACGATTTATGAAGCGATTAACGTTGTTGTTATCAACGGTTGTTTGATGAGCTACGCTTGAAATCGTGGAATCTGCCATGAAATCGTTTCAATTTTCATTTCATGATTCATGGAAACGGTTTAGGAAAAATGTGCTGATAGTGCTTGCCATTTTAGGTTTTAAGTTAGGAATTCCTTTATGCAGTTTTTATTGTGTCGAATTTTTCGTGTTATTTGTTTTTAAATATAATTTTTTCGTGATCCAAACGGTGTCCTGATAGATGTTTGAACAATGGTGGTTTTAATTATTCTGGGGAACATACTGGCTAATCTCTGAGGCAAGTATTGCATCCAAAAAGTCTAAGACTCCACGACTGACGACTCCACATAAACTGTAAAGAGAACAAAATCAAACTATAAGTACTGTAAAATATATTAGTAGGTCTAATACGTACTTCAACAAAAATTTTTACTATAAGACATGAAATGGCTTTCTCTATAAATCAACTTTCAGCTGTTTGAATTGAGGAGATTTTCTGCGAATTACAGCCTCCCAATAATAATCATCATAAATTTAATCGTCGAGAGCCCTGCCTCCCTGCTGGGGAAGAATAACTTCTCGTAAAGCTTGAGAAGAAATCACTTACATTCCTGAAAAGCCATAAATTTACTAGGTTTCATTATATACTATTTGTTGTTTCGGTGGCTGGATCACATATTCTGCAGTTTATTGTTCTTATTATAAGAT